TCTAAAAAAAAAAGCCAAAAGGTCTTAAATTTGTAACGGAGGAAGTAGTATTTAGGTTATGATTGGATCCATAAATCTAGTGAGCTATTAGCTAGCTAACTATTAGTAGCTACGTTCCCTCATAAATTCCTCTGATGTATTTATATTCCTCCTGAAATATAATGGAGGAACTGCACAGAAAAAACAAGTGCGATTAACATGCTCTGGTACGGGTACCTACTTAACTGACGTTGACTGGGAGACTGGCCTGGGATCAAGAGAGACACGAGATGAGCGATGAGTCATGCTCATGCATGCAATCCTGCTCTTGCATCGATCGCTCTCCACGCATCCACTGGTAAACAGGCTAAAGTCGTGTCATGATGCCATATCACATCACTAAATCCAGTATGATTTGCACCTTTTTCTTTGGCGTATATACATACATCAGTTGATTAATGGATGCTTGTCTTTGGCATATATACATGCATCAGTTGATTCCCGGAACATATTTGGATGCTTATCTTGAGCAGACGGCCGTAAAGAGAGCCGGCCAGGTAGGATGGGATTGTCGTCCTAACAGAAACCATCCCTGCCCTACTCATCAAAAATCATGCATGGATGATGGATTCATCAGTTGATTAATTATTAGCTTAATGAGCGCAGCTTTCAAGCCGTCCAGTCTACCAATGCATATATTCGCAATCTTTAGAAAAGAGTTTAATGCATCGTAGGTCCATTAATTTTTGGTGATGTGTTATCTAGGTCCATCAACTTTTAAACTGTATTTTTTATCCATTAACTTTTGGTGGTATGTTATTTAGGTCCATCAACTTTCAAACTGTATTTTTGAGTCCATTAACTTTTGGTGGTGTGTCATCTAGGTTCATCAACTTTTAAATTGTATTTTTGGGTCCCTAAACTTTTTAACTGGTTCACCGTAGGTCCATGTCCCTTCGTTTAGCGAATAGATCTGACATAACACGCCAAATAAGCAGCCACCGTGGAGTAGGTGATGAGTCCATAGCTCCTCAAGATGTTCATGGAGACTTGTCTGGCAATAATTCAAATGTATGAGCTGGTAATTCGTTAATATCCTCTGGTCTTAAATTTGGGACTATTATTTTTAAGGATAAATATATCGTGGACATGGAGAAATTTACAATTGTTGCACTGTCATCAAAGATATTTTATAGATGTGCTTTATTATTGCGTGAAAATGAGAAAATGAAGCCAACAAAATACATTAGTACTAATTCTAAAGATGTAAAGATCATCAATAGAATTTTTCTAACGTGATTAGCATCCTTGCCGTAGTATTTTATTATTTTCATGCATTAGTTTCCTATCCAGTTGTGATACATGATCTTTTATCTAGCATCTAGCTTTTAGTGCCTGCGTACACCTGTGTACGTGAATCAAATTGGTGGCTACGTTTGGACGTGCCATGCAGGTTAGCCGAATCAGGGACTCAGGGTCAATCGGTCCTAATTGGGCTGGTGGAGTCCCAGTTTTGTTTGGGTCAGGTGGCCTGCGTGCCAATACCTGTGGCCTTCGGCCTTTGTACCGGGTAGATTAGACTGAATTTTACTGTGGATTTTATTCCCCGTCGAGCCGCCGCTCGAGAAACCTTATATGGTGATCCCATCAGGTTCTTCGTATTGAAGATTATCTTCGGATGGTGATCTCGTCCTGTACTCCACGGTGGCTGCTTATTTGGCGTGTCATGTCAGATCTATTCGCTAAACGAAAAGGTATGAACCTTCGGTGAACCAGTTAAAAAGTTTATAAACCAAAAAATACAATTTAAAAGTTGATGGACATGGATGACACACCATCAAAAGTTAATGGACCCAAAAATACAATTTGAAAGTTGATGGATCTGAATGACACACCACCAAAAGTTAATGGACCCAAAAATACAGTTTAAAAGTTGATGGGCCTAGATGACACACCACCTAAAATTAATGAACCTACGGTGCATTTATCTCTTTAGAAAATGCATGCCTTTTCCCTGCAACAAAGAAAGAGGATGCAATATTCAATTGTGTTAGTTTAGAGTTCCAAATCATGAGTACAATTAATCTGCGCCTGAGATTATTTACAGTGACTGCAAATAGTCAGAAATGCTGTGCACCACGTGTGTCCTGCAGCGTGCACGGATGCGAGTGATGTGAGCTCGGAGAAAGTGCCAATTGGAATTTTAGAATTCTCTTGGTCTGAGTGGAAGTGAAGTCTTGGTTAACTTTTTTTTTTTCTCAAAACAGATGCACACTCACATACACACACGCACACCATCCCTAATTGCAATAACTGAAGTGGTAAATCTTGAGATTGATAAAATCACCATAGTCGCCTATTTATCGATGGACATGTCTTTGACCACTAAATTACGCTTAAATGTAGAAAATTATGGGCACTTGTGCCAAGGAAGGGGAAGCCTTCCATCATAGAGAATCTAACAAATTAAGGTACTCTCTTTTCACTGTTAATCTTTTTTTTTTTTGCAAAACATGATATATCTGTAGACAATCATATACTCACCCTTATAAACAAACGCATGTGGATCGAACATCTAGTTTATCTTGAGATTGGTGAAGTAACCATAGAGGACGCCTCTTGCTACCAGTGGCCATGCCGTCTACTCTCATCACATCCATGAATTCATCAGCTGATGTTGATTATCTCAAGAGGTATTTAATCTATATAACATGTATAATTGCAACTCTAAATCGATTATATATAGCACTTAGACACCGCAATCTTTAGTAAAATGCTTTTCTTTTTTGCCTAAAATGAAAGAGAATGCAATATTCTTTAATTGTGTTAGTTCATAGTTCCAGATCAAGAATAAAACCTGCGCCTCAAAAATCTTTGTAGTGACTGCAATATTCAGAAATGCTTACGGATGCGTGTGATGTGTGGTTGGAGAATGTGCCAATTGGAATGCTAGAATTCTCTTGGTCTGAATCAAATACATTATTAATATTTTAATAGGATGAAAGAAACATTTCACTAAATAAGAGATGGAAAAACTGTGACACATTTTTTTCCTAAAAGGAAAGAAAATGTCATATTCAATTGGGTTAGTTCAGAGCTCCGGATCAAGAAAAATTGTGCATGTCAGGAAATCTTGCTCAGGTGTGTCCTGCAGCGTGTGCAAGTACGCGTGCGATGGGGATGCAGAACGTGCCAATTGGAAGGCCAGAGATCTCTTTGCTCTGAATGAAAATCAAATTATGTATTTTATTTCGATAAGATGAAAGGAACATTTCGATTAAATAAGATTTAAAATAGTTTGATTTGGTTGGGGATCAGGAGAACAAAGCTGGATCCTGGTGCCCTACCAAGCCAAGCGACGTGTGTGGCATTCTTCGCGCTAACAAAAGTCTCCAATGGCTCTATTAAATTTGAAGTAACTTCAGAAGGCACCAGTTATCCACTCATGTCCATTTAGGGCACAAGAAATGGAAATTCATAAACTAAAAGGTATATATAGAGGCCATCAAGCAAAATCAAAATAATGTCTGTCTTTTTCTTCTTTGTTCTAGAGGGCATCAACCTCTTCATAGACTTGACGACGAGATCTTTCTATACAGGTTCGCTTAACTTCTGAACAAAATTTCAGCTCAATTTACTCACCCAAATTATTTCAGTTTGTTCAAGCAATCTACACTATGACTTGTGAGATTTCTCCTTTTTTCCCCTCTGCATACAAGTTGATTTTTAAGTTCAGTTTTGTGGGGTAATGGAGTATATCATAACTTTCGTTAAAAAAATACGTTACTAATTTTTATGACTATTTTTTCGCCTGAGTGTTCACTAAAGAATAGTTTCCTTGAAGAGCAAACCAACAATCCTTGACAACAAAATAAATTTTCTTGTCCTTTCTCCAAAAAGGCCCACCTGTATTATAGCTTCTTTGACATTTCGATATTACCGAGAACAGTCGAATTCCTTCAACATTCAGGTGAATGCCCCCTATTCCAAATGGGGAGCCAAGAAAATTCCGCAGATGCCACAAGAAGAATAAACAGCGGTTGTTGGCCATTGAAGGTTGTTCGGGTACTAATTCGGCCAAGGCAGCAAAGCAGAAGCATGGTATCAACCGTTAATTCCCATGGTTAGTTATTCGGTTGGTGTCACGAGAATCAGTGCGACAAAGCCACCAAATTTCGGCATATTTCCACGCACAAATTCTGCACTGGGGGCGATCAAAATTTCTTGCTCGAGCCTTTATGGACGGCATGTACAACGAAACGCGTATGAATTCCGCTATCACGGGCGGGGATACGAATAAGCCCATAAAGAATAGTGCTAGTACACGCAGCCACTAAACCAAGGATTTTTTTTAAGTCAAATCTCTTTTTCTCTCTCTAAGCCTGTGCAGAGTGTTGTGTATGCTTGGCTCCCACCACTTTCTCTCTCTGCACTTTGAAAACTTTGAAAGCCTCTAGCAAGCTAAGCACAGCCAGCCCTCCATTTCGTTGTCGGCATGTCAACCCTCGCCTCTCTCTTTTTCTCCGGTGCACTCCATCAGCCATACTTTCTCGCTCTAAAAATGGGAGCCGAGCACTGAGGAGGAAGAACAAGAACAAGGTGCCCTTCATCCATTAGCCACCCAAGGTAAGGAGGGAACCCATTCTCTTCCACCTTAAGCGTCATCAGAATCGATTCGACGATCATTAAGTTGACCCATTTCAGTTTCTAAATTCTCCATGTGATCAGGTCTTGCTTCGTTCCCTTCACCTTGTGTCTCTTTTATTGAAATGCTATTCCGTGCGTTTGAATTGGGAAGTATTGCATGGGTTTCTTGTGCCACTGTTCACAAACAATACTTCCCAAATTTGAAGCGGTTTTAATTTATTTATTACATACTATCTATTTTTTAAGAAAAAAACTTCTCTTTTATGTTCCGACCACATTTCATTTACTGGCACAGTTAATTTCTTTGACGAATTCTTCGAAAACATCGTCCACCTTGCAGGTGATTTCTGAACCAGGAGCTTCACAGGGAAGGGATGGAGCAGTACGAGGTGTTGGAGCAGATTGGCAAGGGTTCATTCGGCTCGGCGCTCCTGGTGCGGCACAAGGTTGAGAGGAAAAGGTGAGGTGGCCGGCAGATGCTGCCACAACGGATGGATGGATGCTTGCTTTGTTTCCATGGTGTCACTCTGAAACCTGGCTCATTTTGCTACAGGTATGTCTTGAAGAAGATCCGCCTTGCACGCCAGACCAACCGGTGCCGTCGATCAGCACACCAGGAGGTATGCTCATACTTTCTGTCCAATTATCCCCTTCAGCGTCATAATTTGAAATTGGAGAGAGAGAGAGAGAGAGAGAGAGAGAGAGAGCTATGTAATTAGCTCCTTCTCTGAAAAGAAAAAGGTTCAAATTTTGGTTCCTGAAGAGACAGAGAACTATGTAATTAGCTCCTTCTCTGAAAAGAAAAAGGTTCAAATTTTGGTTACTGAAGAGAGAGAGAGAGAACTATGTAATTAGCTCCTTCTCTGAAAAGAAAAAGGTTCAAATTTTGGTGCTGGATTGGACCTAGTACCTTCTTGTAGTATTCTTCATGGTTTAGCAGCACATCTTGTGGTCCAGTTTCTGATGAAGAATTTGAATTTGAACACAAATGATTATAAATTTTGCAAAAGGGAGAGAATTTGAGCTCTCCAAGGGGACAAACGCCTTTGTTTCCTTGTAGGGCATGCATGACTGCTAGTTAGGAAACAGATTTGTTGCATTGTCATGATCTTGTGCTAACACATGAATAAACCTACACAAAACATGTGAAAGATTCACCACCCTTGCTGTATGTTCATACAGATGGAGCTCATTGCAAAAGTAAGGAATCCTTACATTGTGGAATACAAAGAGGCTTGGGTAGAGAAGGTGAGCATGGTCCCCTGTAGTTGCTGTTCACAGTTGCAGCATCCGAAGGGCAATCTACGGTCTTGTTCCTTTCCTTGATGTTTCAATGGTCCTGATGAAGGATGTGCATGCTCATAATTGCTTGAAATGGAACGACTTTTTGTTGTTATCAGGGCTGCTACGTGTGTATTGTCATTGGTTACTGCGAGGGAGGGGACATGTATGTCGACTTCTGAAACTTCATCCCTGAGTTGACCTGAACTACAATTGTGACCGCTGTTCTAAAATTTTTGTTGGGTCTGTGCAGGTCAGAGGCCATAAAAAAGGCTAACAGTAACCATTTCTCAGAAGAGGTAGTTAACTAGTCTGTAATCCGTACAGTTTGTTCTGCACCCTCACATTGTGCTCACTGAACTTTGCCCCTTTGTGGTGTCCACCTTTTACTGCATGCAGAAACTTTGTATGTGGCTTGTGCAGCTCCTGATGGCACTTGATTACTTGCATGCCAATCATATCCTTCATCGTGATGTCAAGGTTGCTAGATTCATAACCTTTATATGTTACTTACACTTGCAATGGACTCGTGCTGCTTGAGTGACACTCATCACGCCCTGTAACTGTTTCAGTGCTCAAATATATTTCTCACAAAGGATCAAAGCATAAGGCTTGGTAAGCATCCTATTGTCAAGTATGGTTTTAGAAAAAAAAAATACTGTGCTGTATTTATAAAGTCCTTCATATAAATGATTCAACTATAACGCCCTTTTGTTCCGAACATGTGGTCTGAAACAGGTGATTTTGGTCTTGCTAAAGTCTTAACTTCTGACGATTTAGCTTGTTCAGTGAGTTTTCTTGCTCGATCGTTCGGTGTTTAACATGTTTCTCTGTCGATGTTGCTCTGATTCTAATTAAGTGCTGCTCCTGAAGGTTGTGGGAACTCCAAGTTACATGTGCCCTGAACTTCTTGCTGACATTCCATATGGTTCCAAGTCTGACATATGGTCCCTTGGTAAGATTGTACACATCAATTTTCAGTTGCATCTATTCTTCTGAACATTGGGTGTCTGTCATCTTGCCTAAACTCCTCAATGTCCATTCTCCAGGCTGCTGCATCTATGAGATGGCTGCTTTCAAACCTGCATTCAAAGCATTTGTGAGTAACATATCATGTTTTTGATGAAATCTAGTTTTATCATAACCTGTACCTTCATTGGTGATTTTCCACTCTTACAGGATATGCAAGCATTGATAAATAAGATTAACAAGTCTGCTGTACCTCCTCTACCAATGATGTACTCTGGTGCATTGTAAGTCATTGGCCTATACAATTTACATACAGTCCTTGTGAAATCCTTATGATAAATATCTTTTTAGCTTAAATATGAAATACTAATTTTTTTTTTATTCTGGTCATACAGTAGGGGACTCGTCAAAAGCATGCTGCGCAAAAGTCCAGATCATAGACCAAGTGTATGTGTTGGTTCACCGTCACTGCGAATTGCACCTCACCCTGAAATCTGAGCTTATTTATTCATCCTGGTTCCTCTGTTTCAGGCTGCAGAACTGCTTAAGCATCCACACCTTCAGCCCTACGTGTTCGAACTCCAATTGAAATCGACTCCTCGCAATTTGTTCTCTGCTAAGCTTCCTACCAAATACGTCACAAATAAGGCTGCACTTTATGATGCCGAAGACAATTGTCCACCCAAATACAGCAAGAACCATTCATTTAAATTGGAGAGGGCTGTAAAACTTGACCAAGACACTTCTAGGCATGGTCGTCCTGGTTCTACAACTGGGAAAGACTGTCCAGAACTAAGTGAACAAATGGAGGGATTGTCAGTCCATGTCACCAAGAATGTTACTGATGAACTGATACATGAGAAGTATTCAAAAGTTACAAGATCTCCTGCACCTACTCCGAGAAGAGCTTCATCGACACCAAGAAGACGACTAGAACCTTCAAAGACATTTCATGCTAGAACAGCTCACAAGGAGGTATGAAGTACCTGACCATTTGAAAAGTCAACAAGTTGTTGGTAGCCTTATCGTCAGTCATTGTTCAGATTTCAAAACATAACTTTTGATATTACCACTCCCTAGCCAGTAGACACCACTAAGGCACTAACCTGTTCTTCAGAAAATGAATAGCAACTAGGTTTTTCAGAAACTGACATTTCCTTGCCTCTTACCAAGAAAAAAACGTTGAAAGATTGCTTCTAGCTGCTTGTGGCATCTTAAAACATTTTAATTGGCAACTTGTTAACTTTGAAGTAATTCTGCATAACTTATGTTGTTTTGACACCAGCAGCCTCCATCGTCAAGGTCTTCAGCAAATGAAACGGGTCAAGCCACACGGAGAGAGTCACTCCCCATGCGTATGATCAAAACTCCTGATAAGAGGCAGGCCACCGACATTCTCACCAGATTGAAATCTCCTGACGTTTCAGTAAACTCTCCTCGAATCGACAGAATTGCTGAATTCCCACTGGCATCCTTTGAAACCCCATTGCATCGCATCACAAAGCTCACAACGCCATCTGTCATTGATCAATCCATTACCAAGGACAAGTGCACTTTCCAAGTGCTCCGAAGCAATAGCGAAAACTACACTGACTCCCCTGACATCGACCTTCTTGGTGCTGACAATTCATCTAGGAGTTCATCTGATTGGAGGCAGAGAAGGTTCGACACGAGGTCTTACCAGCAGAGAGCTGAGGCTCTGGAGGGATTGCTTGAGTTCAGTGCCCAATTGTTACAGCAGGAGAGGTTTGAGGAGTTGGGGATCTTGCTGAAGCCATTCGGACCCGGTAAGGCATCTCCAAGAGAGACAGCTATTTGGTTGTCAAGGAGTTTGAAAGAAACTGGACTATAACCAGAGGCCTGTAAGTGCAAGATTAAACCTGCAATAGCTTTGTATCTTAACAAGCTTCAGTCTACCCTGTACAGTTTAAGTATTGTGTTTTTTTTCACTTGACTGGTCTTAGTGGAATGCTGCAACATGTAGACATGTTGTTAGTTCGGCAATCGTTCTCTTTCTGTAAACCTGTAATAACATGCTTGAGAATTTCCCAATCAGATGAAAATACCTTAGACGCCTGTGAAGTTGTATCTTGAAATCATATCGGTCAGCAAGAGTTGACATTTGGAGAGCCATTTTCTATGATGAAGCTTGACAGTTTCATTGTCATTGTCATTGCATTTTGTATGAAAACAATGAAGTGTTTATGGTCCTTCAGTTCTGTTCTTGATTTATATTTATCTTCTATAGAAAACTGGTTCAGAGCTGGTGTCTATGTTCCTTCAATTCTGTTCTTGATTTATATATATCTTCTATAGAAAACTGGTTCAGAGCCGTCCCTTGCTGCTCTGCACGACCCATAGATAAACAATCAACATTTCTTCTCCAAAAGAAAAGGCTTTCACAACTACACCGAAGCTACCATAAGCATTTGCCAATTTGCTGGTGTCAGGGTGGAGAGCATGTCATATAACAAATTAATAACCTGCTTGCCTGCGTTTCCTGGGCTCACCATGTATTTGCCTGTCCTTTTGTTACTTGTTCTTCCATTTGTCACTGCAGAAACATAAAAATATACTTGCTGCAACTCTACCTTCTTTCTCTACACCGCAGTTCAAGCTGATGCAAACCTACCTGATCAGTAAAATCTGATGAGCTTCCAAACAATTCAACCGGACCAGGTAATTCATGCCATACAGGCACAATTGTTGTTGACCAGTTCCATCCAAGTTTTACTGATGAAAGCTAAGCAGCACTTGTTGAAATCATACATCCACATATTGATCCTTTCCCAACTCAGGTTTCTCAAGTAGTTTAGGGACTCATGTTGACTCCTGTTCCTAACAATATAACATGGAGACACTGGAACTAATTTGCTGAAAGTGGCACATATACATCATCATCCTCTGCCTAGTTATATCAGCCAACATACACAAACCTTTCTTTCTGCACTAAATATTATTTTTTGGAAGTCTGTAACATTGACAACATGAAGTGTAGCATGCAACCTCACTTTATTTACCAAGTTCAGCAGTCAGGAGGCAACATTCACATTTTATTTTATTTTTTTCTGCGGCATCTCAAATTTCAGTTTTAAGAGAAACATTTTGCTGGTCAAATTTTCCATTTTTCAAAGACAATTAGATTGCCAGGTTGAACTGCATTCTGATTTTACAGATATACATGCAGGACCCAAGTTCATTAAAAACACTGTAGTCCAAGGGATGTCAAAGACACTTGGTCCAACAGCTTGCAAGATAACACACCAGAATCAATCAAATATTTTTATGGATCAACAGAAGTTTCAACCTAGTAAAATGGCTTTTTATCCCGCAATAGAGTAGAGTGATTGTCAATCCTCACAGCACAAACTAAATGTATGAATGTGAACTAGAGGAACATTGGGGGAACATATTTATTGAAGCATCTTATTACCTGCTTTTACACCAATAGCTTATACATTAAATTGTAAAATTCAACACAACCAGCAAAGTAACTCAAAAACTCACTTCGTTTTGACACTGACACCGTCCGTTCCAGCAATGATCACTGAACTCGCCATGTTCAAGAACAACCCATGGTCAACAACTCCTTCCAGAGCTGCAATTTCCTGTCCTGCTGCCAATGCATCCTTGATTGGCGTCTTGAAGTATAAATCGACAATGTAGTTTGAGTTGTCGGTAACATAGGGCTTGTCGCCTTCAAATCTTAGCTTTGCCTCAACTCCTTCCTCCTTAAACAGTTCCTGCAATCTTACTAGGTTGTACTTCCAGCAGAACTGCACAACTTCCACTGGCATGGCTAGACCACTACCTCCTAATCCATCAACTAGTTTTGTCTCGTCAACAACAACGATAAACTTGGCCGATGCTGCCTCAACCATCTTCTCACGAAGAAGAGCGCCACCCCGCCCTTTCACAAGGTTCAGGTCAGGGTCAACCTGTTTTAATTAAGGAATGTAATTAGCCAACTAAAAAGATAGTAGTTTGAATACGATATGAACCCCAAACAAAATGTAAGCATTTGGATAAAGTTGGCATAATATTGAGCATATTTGAATTGTTGATATTTCATAGGATACTTTGGGAACCTGGCCACAAAAATACAAAATTTCAGAACATTCCAACGAAACAAACCTTTCAAACGACAAAAAGGCTAAAGGCCAAAGTCACGTTTCTCACTATGAACACACAAAATAACACACGGACTCATCTTCTTTCATGCAGTCAGCAACAGGACAAGGTATCAGGTATGTGCAAAGTCAAACCTTCCATGTCCAAATTTTTACACGACAGCAACTCTAGCTCGCAGCTACCAGTAATCACTAGTACTAAAATTACCAAGAAGCAATCAAAGGAGATGATTTATTTTCTGTATAAGCTTTTCCCCGGGATTGAAGATGGTTTGATTGGTTTATATAGCCCATACCCAACCCAAAGGGGGGAAAAAAGAGAAGCGACAATGAGACAAGGACGGACCTCGTCGGCACCGTCGATGGCGAGGTCGATGCTCGGGTGGCCGTCAAGCGTGGAGAGCGGGATGCCGAGCGACTGCGCCTGCTCGAAGGTGCGCTTGGAGGTGGGCACGCCGACGATCTTCTCGAGCTTGCCGGCGGCCAGGAGCGCGCCGATCTCGGCGACGGCGAAGGCGGCCGTGGAGCCCGTCCCGAGCCCGAGCACCATCCCGCTCTGCACCTGCTCGACGGCGCGCACCGCCGCCAGGCGCTTGAGGTCATCCTGCGTCAGCGCCGCCGCCGCCGCCGGCGCGGACTGCGCGCGGACGGACCAGAGCCGGGCGCGGCGGCGGGCGGAGGAGGCGACATGGCGCGCCGCGGTGGGGTGGTGGAGGCGGACTGAGATCGCGGTGGCGGCAGCCATGGGGGCGGGCGCGTGTAGGTGGGTGGCGGGAGGTGCTGCAGCTCGGAGAGGTGAGGTGAGGAGTGTGGGGAAGAGGCCAAGCCAAGAGGAAGAGGGGGAGGCGATGGGGAGTTGGTGGTGGTGGCTAGCGGCGATGGTGATCGTCAGAGGTTGGGTTGGTTGGTGGTGACTTGGAAGGCCAGGGATTTTTCTTCCTGGTATTTTTTTCTTGATATTTATTTTTTTTAAAAGTATAATTTGGCTGCCACGTAGGACACCAGCACCACACCAAATCAAACTTGTGTGGACATCAGAGCAAAGATTAACTTTTTTGTGTGTAGTAGATAATGGCAGCACTTATGTGTGCAACAAGTTCATTTCAAAACTATGACTTGGGTTACCTCTAAACCTTGTACTGCCAAACTGAACCAACAATATCATGTGTATTCGGCAAGGATATGTACTGCCTCATGTACAGATGAATGCAACTTCAAGGGTAGTTCAGAGCACAAACAATAGCTCTAGCTGGGATCACCTGCAATGCCTATAATTCAGTATAAAATTCAACTATAAAGCCTAGAAATTGCTATAGTACTCCTTACTATCCAAACAAAATTGCTAAAAGTTTCTTGTATCGAGGGAGTTGATGAGGGAATCCATGAACACAGAGAATATGGAACTGATCAGGTGTATATTCAGTAATGGTGATGTCATAATTTGTAAAAGGAGATAATGTGTCGTTTCTGAGTGCCAAACTTTCTCTCTGCTTCAATTTCTCAACAGAAAATTTCAGAACATATGCTCATGGTACATGAGTACATTGTGTACCCATATGATGATCAGTTACTGATCAGGCTACTTAGACATAGAACCCTGAGAAGTACATCAGGGATGCTCAACAGCAATTCATATACCAATCTTTTGCTCACGTTTGAGAACGAAAGAGGCCATCTCAGTTCACGTTTGAAGCCAGCATCCATCACAAACAACGCAAACGTTGCCACGACATCCTACTCACAGTATCCATGAGCATTACTCATCATCACCAAGAGGCCAACGAACCTCACTGATTCATCACCTCTTCTTGAACCCATACTTCTTGCGCTCGTAGAAGAGGTCGGTCTTGGCGCTACCGAGGTTCACAATCTTGGGGCACCCGTCCCGGTCCTTCTCCTGCTGCGTGCACTCCTTGCAGTAGTAGGCGTCCGAGATGCCCACGCCACCGCAGATGACACACCGCCCCTGGAACGACCCGTAGTTGCACTCGTCGCAGACACGGACAAGTGTGCACGGTCGCACGTATGAGTCGCAGATGACGCACTTGCCGTCGCACTTCTCGCACAGCCGCCCGATGGCGATGCCGGGCTGCTTCCGGCACATGATCAGGTCAGGGTGGTGCTTCGCCATGGCTGTCAGATGTTAACCTGGCAAGCCATAGTACAATGGTTAGTGCATTATCATGGAGCAATGTTACAGCTTGTGAGGAACGACATGAACAAGCACAGAAACTGTTGAAGGTTGAATACCTAATGCAAAGAGAATTGTTAATTCGTTATTTATTTTAACTTGATAGCAAGTAACAAGGGAAAACTTTGCTTCAGCAACTAAGTCTCTCCATATGCATCGCTCATTTCGGTTTTTCCACTCTACCATTAAGTGTTCTTTTCTTTCTTTTTTTTTTTTTTTTTTGTCAGTGTTGTCAGCTTGACTCTATTTGACTGAAAAAAAAAGAATACGAATATCCTACATCAGTGACCGGATGACACTTCTATCATTGCAGCTCACAGCCACTGAACCCATCTTATATGATTTGAAGATGGCCATCCTATGTACTATAGTTAAAGCAGTTTAGCCTATAGCCACAAAAAAGAAGTTATTAACAAAAGGGTGGCAAAGAAGAGAGAGGGAGGGAGGAAGGGAGGGAGAGCAGATCAGAAATTTCAGCGGAACAATGAAGAAATGATAACAACGAAAAAATGATTACCCCAAGTGGGAAGAAGATTGAAACCTCCCTACCAATAGATGATGTGCAAGGCATGGCAATAGACATAATGCACATTGCTTCAACAATATTTTTGTTTGAATAGAAATAGGTGATCATCCAAATAAAAAAAATGTTGTGGTCAATAAACTTTAAAATTAGCAAATTAAAGAATCCTTAGAATTGTAGCCGGTTTTAACAATCCCACCATATTATTAAGTCCTTCCGCAAAGAAGAGGTTCAGCTTACTGAGTTACAAGCTATGCCCACATAGGATATTTCTTGCTTTGCCGCTAGTTGGAAAGATTGCAATCTATAATGCAGTTCAAGTAAAAATATGTGAAGTGAAAAGATGTCAATATTTCGCCTGACATTAAACCATATTAGGTGTATCATCAGAACATGAAAAATAAGCCTACTCCAAGGTTGGTATGGTTACTTGGCGGCTTGAAAGTAACAACTCTATGTGATATTTCTATTTAAAAGGTGTGTCATGGAGATATGTTAAATATTTCTTGATGCTGCTAAAATGAATTTGTTGGGATAAATTTAGTGGTTCAGACATTGGACTGACAACAGCCATATGTGTCGATCTCGATTGTACTGACAGGCAATGTTTTCCGATCGTCCGATCATCCTTATCAGTACCTAGCACTCGATTAGGCCCTCCGATTCGATCAGAGCGATCAGAAACCTTATCGTCCGATTAATCGTCGATTAATCGCGATAAATCGTCCTTATCGGTGTCTTAACCGATCAAGCATGCAGATGGGCTGCTTCAGCAGTTCAGCTTACTAGGCTATATTTGCTTGGGCTAGGTCCATTAGGGTTTCTCTTTTATACCTCTCCCCCACTCTTTCTCTCACCTCCTCAGTCCTCACTCTCACTCTCCAGCCCATCAGCAAACATATGGAGGCTGGGACAAGAATATGGAGTCAGATCTCAGAAATATAGTCTTTATGCTCGATGTCTACTATATAAGTACATAGTATATGGTATATATACCATACATATATGATATATAGTCCTGCTATATGTTGGACGATTATATGGACGATTAGACTGATAAGTCCTTATCGTCGATTAATTGTCCTGATTGTCCTTATCGGTACCAGAATCATTAGAGACGATAAGCCGATTTAAAAACATTGCTGACAGGCCTTGTGGACACCTAATGATGGTAAGGGACGAAGGGGAAAAAAATCTGTTCTAAACGAGGTGCCAATATTAGCGTCAAATAGTCCCTTTAGCAAAGATAGAAGTAAACAGCCCAAATGTTGTCCCCTTTGATTGGATATATTAGACCCAACGTCGGTGGTGTTTGCAAACAAACGGTTGAATCAACAGTTTGCTTCTCTTACAGCACAGGCACACAAGTACTTGGCTGAAGCTGCTACTGCTAGTACAATGCTGCTACCGATGTGGATGAGCAGTCGAATCAATGAGTTGCCTGTTACGCAGGTACTCCATTTGAGCACAGACCGCGTCGACAGAGGCTTGGGACCAACAGGACGACAGGCAGAATTGCAGAAAAAAATCACACAGGACACGGCAGGGGCGGCCCCCGGACAGGTAGCAAACCTAGAAACCGGGTTCTACGAAGTACTACGAAGGGTCAGTGCGGGGCGCCGATCAGCAGCAACTAAGCACGCGCGCGCGGCGCGCCATCTGCTAGCAGAGCCACGCGTCGACGACGACATTTCTCGATGGCGGGCGAAACCGGCGGGATCTAGCATAGCACGCGATTGGCTCATCAACAGTGTTCAGTAGCGCATGAACCAAGGGGGGGTGGGGATGGATCCATGGGAGCGGCTGAGCGAGGACCACGTACCGGCGAAAGGAGAGGTGGAGCAGGACCGCCGCTGCGGCGAGGCCGATGGAGGGGCGGGACCGCGGGAGCGGGAGCGGGGACGGGTGGAGGCGGAGGATCCGGCTTCAGGCAGAACGGCAGGAGAGGGAAGAGGGGAGGAATAGGTCCCGTTGGGCCCTTGAAGCCTGAACCATCTAAGGCTATTGGGCTTAGCACGACGGGCCCATTGATGCCTGGACCCATCTCAGCCTAAACAAAGCCTTGGACACACGTAGGGATGAAAACTGTTAAAAAAAAATAGGGATAAAAACGGATGGGATACGGACAAATATCACTGATATCACATTTGTTTTATATTTTTATCTGGATTTGGATTGGATTCGAATACAGATGGTGTTAATCATGCCGGATTAGATACGATTAGATATCGACATCATAAATATGCGATTTAAGTATTCGGATATTGACGGTATTGGATGTTGAATATCCGAAGTCGTATACGGACAGATCTGAACCCTTTTAAACAGATTCGGTCTCGAATATAGTCGGAAAATATCGTATTGTTTTCACCTCTAGCACAGGGACGTTGATGAAACGGAACACAGGGCTGCATAAATTTTTGAAAAACTCATTCAAACTATCGGGTCGTTTGATTTTCATTCCTGATCTACAGAACTACTTTGTTAATCTTTTTTAACTTTTAAAAGCCGTTCATTTTTATATCCTGGGCGGTTTTGGTAGTAATTTTGCTAATGTGACGTCACCGTTATAGTGGATAAATCAGACTAAATTAAAAGCTTAACGAGGTATATTTGTTTTTTTTTAAATCCCTGACTTGTGGCAGGCGAGCTACGTGCAGACGCCCTGCAAACCGCAAGGCGCGTGCTTTGGGTTGAGCTCAAGCACGCCAACATCATCTGCTGCCTCGCCGCCATGCATATGATGCATTGGGTACTCTATTGGGTTTCAGATTACATTCCACCACTTTTCAAAGTTCACATATAAGTTCATCTTAAATTAATAGGGTAGAAGATAAAAATTGATTATATAGATCACCATTCTATATTTATATTTTATAACTTATAACACGATCTTCAATTCGCTCCCCCTATGGTAGAAATGCAACACATAAGTATATGTCTTTTATAGCCAACAATAATATACAACTATAATCCATATACATCCATATTAGCTTAATTAATATGTTTCTAAATTATGATTCTTACTAGGTAGCGTGCCTGTGCGTTGCTATGAGACAGCTAAACTTTTATACTAAAAATACATGGATCGCACTAACGATACTGTGAAAATAAAAATTAAAGTGACATTTAATCCAAAAAAAACAAAGTTTATAAAATTAACACAGTCACAGAGAGCGCGGCATTGCATGCCCTCTAACCATCATCGCCTCGTGGAGCCTCCATTTTGCATGTCCTGAGCTAAACCGCAACGTGTAGTCAGTTCCACCTCGACCACTTAGGGTTAATGCTCATTAAACTATAAAGAGTAAAATGCACCGTAGGTCCATTAACTTTTGGTCGTGTGTCACTTAGGTCCATCAACTCTCAAACTGTATTTCTAGGTCCATTAACTTTTGGTCGTGTATCACTTAGGTCCATCAACTCTCAAACTGCATTTCTGGGTCCATTAACTTTTGAGTAAAATGCACCGGAGATCCATTAACTTATGAGGATGTGTCATCTAGGTCCATCAACTCTCCGACTGTATTTTTAGGCCCCTAAACTTTTTAAGTAGTTCACCGGAGGTCCATACCTCTTCGTTTATGTTTATATTTTACAGAAACCTTCCTCATTTTTTTCTTTTCCATGTTTCCCCCTCCTAGTCTAGGTGGCGCACGCAGCGTGGACTCTTGCGAATGTTTCGTTCCTGTAAGGACGTGGTGCTGGACGACCACAACGTGCCCAAGTCCCTCATCGAGTTCTGGCCAAGGCGCGCGGCGAGGAGCATGAGGCACCACGTCGCGGTGACCGCTCTCGTCTCATGGCCCGCGAAGTAGATGTTCTTGCAGTTGTCCACCACGAAGTCGTCCGTGCGCGGCTTGTCCTGGCTGCTATCGATGATGGAGCCCATGAAGTCGCGGCCCAGTGCCGGTGCCGGCCCCACCGGCGCCTTGCGCTCACTCACCAGCTACAGGATTAGCGACCTGATCTCGTGTGTGAGCCCGGGTCGATCCGGACCTTCCTCGAAGTCCTAGTCAGGCAGCGCCACGAGCTGCGTGTGCCACCTAGACGAGGAGGGAAACGTCGGAAAGAAAAAGAAAATGAGGAAGGTTTCTGTAAAATACAGATATAAACGAACCACTTAAAAAGTTTAGGGGCTCAAAAATACAGTCTGAGAGTTGATGGACCTAGATGACACCTCCTCAAAAGTTAATGGACCTCCGGTGCATTTTACTCAAAAGTTAATGAACCCAGAGATGCAGTTTGAAGGTTGATGGACCTAAGTGACATACTCCCTCCGTCCTAGTATATAAGGCGTAATCATCTATGGTACAAAGACCAATAACACATTTAATTCTCTCTCTGAACATTAGTACTACTGCATTGATGTATGTGAGAGAGCACGCCTTATATTATGGGACATAAACAAAAAGTA